ATATATATATATATATATATATATATATATGTCGAAGGCAGCGGCGGCATTCGCGAAGCTTGAGTACCGAGTGTGGAACAACCATCAGCTTACCATTGGCACGAAGCTGATGGTGTGCAAATCCATGGTGCTGTCCGTTCTTCTATACGGCAGTGAAACGTGGATGATGTACCGGCGGGATGTGCGATGTCTCGAGCGGTTCCATCAGCACTGTTTGCGACGGGTTTTGCGCATCGGTTGGGGCGACAGAGTTGCGGAAACGGAAATGTTGCGACAAAGTGGAGTGTATGCAGCGGACTGCATACGTTTGCTGAGACAAATGAGGTGGCTCGGTCATGTGAGCCGTATGGATTCGACGCGGATACCGAAACAACTCTTATACGATCAGCTAAGTATTGGGAAGCGGCACGTGGGAAAACCAAAGTTACGTTACCAGGACATGATTAAAGTGAGCCTCTCACGTTCTAATATTGATTGCAGATCATGGGAATCGAAGGCGGTTGATCGGCAAACATGGCACGATCTAATCATGAAGGCAGTTGCCGAAGTGCGGAAGAAAGACCGCATACACGCAGAGAAGAAGCGGCAAGTGTGGAAGCGCCAAGCACGGATGGGTTGTACTCCACTGACATCAAGCGCATGGTGTTGTACCACATGCGGTCGCGAGTGCCTGAGTCAGACAGGCTTAGTGGGCCATGAGCGAGGCCACTCGGGGCCACTACCGAAGCGACGATGGGTCCTGCAGAGAACGTAGGCAGAACCAGCGCAGCGTTTGTAGGTACGCAGCATTCGATTTACTAACCGCGTGCTTGCATGCTAAGTCTCTTTATTTCAGGTGGTGGGTTTGCAATTTTGTGCTAATGCTTTTCTTTCTCATACAAATGTCTACCTGTTCGCTCTTCTATAAACCTGCACACCTCACTCAAGCCAATTTTAGTTAATTTCGATAACATTTTTGTGTTTGTGTCATTTCAGTAAACAATACTTTCTGACCTCGTGAACTTATTTCGGATCCTTTGTTAACAACTTATTTCATATGCTCATTTATTTAAGATTTATGTCACCGTTTCCTTATGCATTACTCGATTTATTTTATTTGTTATCTTTCACACAAGCCATTGGTTGTTGGTTGATATCCCCGGTGTGGCTGCGCTTGATGTGTATTTTGACAAGGTGCCTACCTGTCTATTACCCACTACCTCGTCCATACTGGCTCTAGGAGACAGTTGGTCGTTGCTGGAGGGAACGAGGTGCACGGTCCTTGTGGCCGTGTTAGGATCAAAGAGTGGTTCCATGCACTCCGTGTGGAGCGCGCTACGGTCCAGCCACCACATTGTGTGCGCTTGATTCCCAAATACAGCGTGCTTGTGTTTGCCTGTGAAGGAGTGTGGGCCGGCTGCGTTGATGAAACGTGGCTCTGATCCACATGCATCCCGGTCTTATTCCTTCGGGTTTACACTGGATATGGGGTGTGTGGTTGGAGCTGTGGGTGGTGCAGCGCAAGCCACCCATGGTCCCTCTGTAGGCGCAGGCGTCCTGTGGCTGGCCACAGTGACAGGCAAATGAGAAACCGGATGCCGCCAACCAATTATATATATATATATATATATATATATATATATATATATATATATATATATATATATATATACGGATTCGTTGGATTTTATCGGGTGAAGCTTCCGGACCCCTTGGGAGCCCTCCTACCAGATAAGTTAAAAGGCTAGAAGCTCTCCCGATTTGGAGTTGAAAATGGGATGGCGTCAATTTCTGTAAAGTCAAATCAGTGTCATCACCCTGCTGCCTTGCGGACAGGCTTCTGATTCATAGGCATTGGTTAAGGACCCTATCTAGGTCAGGGTGCACTGGTAGTATCTCAGCCCAAATTATTTCCTCAAACTCCAACCACGGCTATCGCACAGTTTACAAGGGTCGACTTATCTATTCCATACAGCAGGGCGTAGAAGAGAAAACGTGCTATTCCTGGCGCCTTCGTTCTTTCATTTTCGCCTATTTCTCTTGTTCCCCTCCCAATCCCCATTACTAGCCTTCCTTCTGTAATACCAAGCCTAATTGGCGGCAGCCGTAATGATACGGGAGTCCAGCCATCTGCAGTTATCCTCCCGCATAACCCACTGGATGTCAATGGCCAACACTCCTTTATAAGGCCACACAGTCCCGCTACGTTGGCAGTGTTCAACATTCGCACTTCAAGACAAAGAGGTCAACAGATTACACTCGCATGCAGGTTGGACACACTGGGCATTGACTTGCGTTGCGGGATCGAAACTAGGATCAGTAACTTACATGGGGTTGTTGAATTAACTGGGCCCAGGTTGTCCTCTCGCTATTGGCCGCACGAAACCGGAAACGCTGACGCAGCGACCACTAGGCCATTTTGGGTGGCTTGCCGAACTACCGGCTGGCTTGCCGAACTACCTCCTCGTGGTGTCAGCTGGGTGGTTCGGGTGTACCCCGTTCCAGCAAAGTGTTCGGCGACAATGTTTCACCTCGGTGGGACATTGTATTCCAGCAGGTGTGCTGACTTCATGGGGAGCATTGGGCCCCTGTTTGGTAATCTACCAAACAAAGACGCATGAACTAAACATTCAGTCAACGCCTCCCAATGGGCGCGATTCCCTAAATTCGCCCCGCTGCCTTGCGGGTAGGTTATTTAGCCAAAAGCTCGGGGTGGAGTCCCCTAAGTCAACTCCCTACTTAGGCTTGGGCAACCGGGTAGTATCACGCCCTCTCGCAAAACCATGGACTGTATTACAACTTGCTCATCAGCTGCTGTTTCTGCTAGTCACTTTCACGCGACTTCATCACACGCCAAATGTTTGTTTGCTAACAATCCTCACTTTCCGTTACCCAAACCATGTGCTCAACAATCTGGCTGCGATTCCGGTTGCGCCGCAGACCAAGAGGTTCAACATATGGCTCTCCTTCGTCCCCGATCCTCGTTCCGTCTGGCGTGCTTCAACGTTCGGACAGTCATGCAGATTGGACAGCAAGCCGGTCTAGCGCGCACTATAGATTCCCTAGACATTGATGTCTGCTGCCTTTCAGAAACCCGATGGCAAGATCCCAGCACTGTGCTTACACTGACATCCCCCACTGACCACAAAGCCAGATATCACCTGCGTCTTTCTGGAGATCCAGAAGCAGCCTCAGCGGGTCTGGCTGGTGTAAGTATAGCACTAAGTGACAAGGCCGAGGCGGCACTACTGGACTGGTTCCCTATTAACAGCCGACTATGTGCAGTTCGGCTTCGGGGTTCGTGTAGAATCAACAGGCACCGCGAAGAGAGACACAACTTGTTTGTGATCTCCGTGTACGCTCCAACTGACTGCAGTGGTGACTCGGTCAAGGACGAATTCTATCGGGATCTACAACAGCTCTTGACTAATGCTAAAAAGTCGGATGTCGTTATCCTTGCTGGGGATTTTAATGCACGGGTTGGCCGCCTGTTACCATACGAACGCCACCTTGGTGGTCATCACTCGCTCGATGAGAACCGCTCTGAGAACGGAGAGAGACTTCTCACAGTGTGCGAAGACAACCGTCTGTTTCTTTCGAGCACTAACTTCAGGCGTACGAAGAAGCGTTCCGCAACGTGGCGTCCCCCTTCTTCAACACAACCGTGGTCTCAAATTGATCACATTGCAATTAGCTTCAGATGGCGCGGCAGCGTACTAGACTGCAGGTCCTTTTGGTCCGCCTTCGTTGATTCAGACCATGCTCTGGTCTGCGAGAAACTCTGTATGTGTTTCGGAGGATCCCGAAACACGAAGCACCGCAAGGTTGATGTAAACAGATTAACTGATTCCTCTGTCCAGACAACCTATCAGTCTTCACTGGCATATGCACTCAGTTGCAGTCCACCGCTAGAAGTGGAACAACACTGGACTTGTATACGGAAGGCAATGACCATTTCCGGACAGTCATGCTGCGGCCTAACTCGACGCCCTTTGAAGGCTTGGATCTCTGCTCGTTCTCTGGAGCTGTTCGAACGCCGCAAAGCTATCCCCGCGGCATCAGATTGCAACGAGCGGCGCCGTTCTGCCAACCGGCTGCTCAAGCAAAGCCTACGCAAGGATCGCGAGACATGGTGGTCTAAACGTGCTGTAGAGATGGAGACCGCTGCCCTCTCTGGCAACACTCGCAGGCTTTTCCAACTCATTCAGTCCACTGGCCTCAGGGAGCATGGTGTCAGTGAGGTCATTTGTGAGGTGGATGAGTCTCTGATCACCAACCAACAGAGGCGTATGGACCGCTGGGCCGAGCACTTTCACTCGCAGTTCAACTGGCCACCACCATCCATCAGTACATGCAGTACACGTTGTTGTCCACCCTGGCTCGTCCCACTGAATCCACCAAGCGAAGCGGAATTCTGCCTCGAGATTCGACGCTTGAAGCGCTTCAAGGCTGCCGGCTTAGACGGACTTCCTCCGGAACTATTCAAGTACGGCGGTGTGGCGATCATTAACCAACTGACCGCGCTGTTCGCAAAAATTTGGCATGAAGAGAAAGTGCCTTCCTCTTGGGGAGAATCAGTCATTATCCCGATTTTCAAGAAAGGCGCTCGCACTTCATGTGCAAATCATCGCGGGATTAGTCTTATTTCGGTTGCCTCTAAGCTATTGGCATCCATTCTGCTTCGCAGGCTATCCCCAGTACGTGAATCACACTACCGTGAAGAACAAGCTGGTTTCCGTCCTGGCCGCGGATGCGTGGATCAAATCTTCAGGCTCCGCCAGCTCCTCGAACATCGCCACATTTATCACAGGCCCACTATCATTGCATTTCTAGACATACGTGCCGCTTTTGACTCCGTTGATCGACCTGCTTTATGGCGTTGCTTACTGAAGAACGGGGTGCCAGAGAAATATACCGCCATCTTTTGAGCACTTTACCTTCATACATCCGGAAGTGTGAGGGTCTATGGCAAGCTTTCCTCGCAATTCACTGTCAATAGCGGTGTGCGACAGGGCTGCCCAATGTCCCCATTCCTCTTCAACTTCGCAATCGAAGACGTTCTGTCGAATGCTCTAGAAGGTTTCCAACATTTTGGCCAAGAGCTTCTACCGGCTGAGCGCACGACCGACTTAGATTATGCTGATGATATCGCCTTACTTGGTGACGATCCTCAGAGTATGCAACTCATTCTGGATCGTTTGGCGGTTGAAGCCTCTAAGTATGGCATGAGCTTCGCCCCATCGAAGTGTAAAATACTGCTCAAGGATTGGCTTTCACCTGCTCCCGTACTCACTCTCGAAGGTGCACAACTTGAACAGGTAGATAGTTTCGTCTACCTTGGGAGCTGTGTTTCTGCTGACAGCACTATCAACAAATACGTTTCCCTCCGTATCGCTAAAGCTCGATCGGCATGTCAATTTGAGGCACTTGTGGCGTCGTCGTGACGTCTCATACTCACTAAAGGGCCGCGTTTACAGCGCATCAGTTCGCTCAACATTGTTGTATGGGTGCGAGTCCTGGCCGCTTCGCGTGGAAGACATGCGTCGTCTTTCTGCATTCGATAACGGTTGCTTAAGGAGGATCGCGCGTGTTTGGTGGCAACATCGAGTTAATAGTAATGACGTTCGACGTCGCATCTTGGGGAATGCGAGTATTCCCTTCAACAAACTGGTTTTGTTGCGCCAGTTGAGATGGCTCGGTCACATCCTACGCATGGCACCTGAGCGTCTACCGCGTCGCGCTCTATTCGCTCGTCAAGGACCTGGCTGGAGGCGACCGCGTGGTGGTCAGCCTTCCACTTGGCGGCAGCACATGAAATCGCTGACGTCGTGTCTAGCCGCTGTGGGATCCGTACGTCTTCCAGGATGGGGCCCCAAAGATGAGGAGTGCTGATGGCTTAGCACTCTTGAAGACCGCAACCGGAATCAATGGAAGAATTTTGTACATTATTGTATTGATTCACATGTTTAATTCTATAAACATTAAAATGACAAAAAAAGAACAAAAGCGGCGTGTGAAAAACGAACTAAAAATGTTTCGTTCTACTTTTATCAAAATGTTCCATTCTTCCTGCGGCATATTAGTTGAAGTGTGTTGCTCACCTTCAACTAGCATGCCACGTTGATTATGACGCCTTGAATCTTGCTTATCTCCTTATCTCCATGGTTTTAAGCTGGCTCTGTGTCTAGCTAATAGACTGTTGAGAATGGTTGGCGGCATCCGGTTTCGGATTTGCCTGTCACTGTGACCTGCCACAAGACGCCTGCGCCTACAGAGGGACCATGGATGGCTTGCGCTGCACCACCCACAGCTCCAACCACATACCCCATATCCAGTGTAAACCCGAAGGAATAAGACCGGGATGCATGTGGATCAGAGCCACGCTTCATCAACGGAGCCGGCCCACACTCCTTCACAGGCAAACACAAGCACGCTGTATTTGGGGAATTAACCGCACATAAGGCGGTGGCTGGACCGTAGTCCGCTCCACACTGAGTGCATGGAACCGCTCTTTGAGCCTAGCACGGCCACAAAAACCGTGCACCCCGTCCCCTCCAGCAACGACCAACTGTCTCCTAGAGCCAGTATGGACGAGGTAGTGGGTAATAGACAGGTAGGCACCTTGTCAACATACACATCAAGCGCAACCATACCAGGGATATCAAACAACAGCCATTCACTTTAAACGACAAGCCGAAATAAAATAAATCCAATAATGCATACAGATACGGTGGCATAACTCTTCGCTAAATTACCATATGAAGTAAGTTGGTCAGCAACAAATCCGTGATAAGTAAGAAATGTCCACAAGTTACTTAAAATGCTACAAACGCAACAAAATTACCGAAGATAAGCGCAATTAGTGTTAGCAACGTGGCCAGTTAATAGAACATTATTCAGGGAGGCAGAACAAACCAAATAAAGCGGAATGAAATTTAGCCAGCTTAAAAAGACCTAGTTTAAGTGTAAGTTGGTTTAGCCCAACTGCGGTGAAGAAGCATCAAGAATGCAACATCAGCCTCAGCATGGGGCACACTGTTGAGAATGGTTGGCGGCATCCGGTTTCGGATTTGCCTGTCACTGTGGCAAGCCACAGGACGCCTGCGCTTACAGAGGGACCATAGCTGGCTTGCACTGCATCACGCACAACTCCAACCACACACACCCCATATCCAGTGTAAACCCGAAGGAATAAGACCGGGAGACATGCGGATGGGAACCACGTTTCATCAACGGAGCCGGCCCACACTCCTTCACAGACAAACACAAGCACGCTGTATTTGGGAATCAAGCGCACACAATGTGGTGGCTGGACCGTAGCGCGCTCCACACGGAGTGCATGGAATCACTCTTCGAGCTTAGCACGACCACAAGGACCGTGCACCCCGTCCCCTCCAGTAACGACCAACCGTCTCCTGGAGCCAGATGAACGATGTAGTGGGTAATAGACAGGTAGGCACCTTGTCAATATGTACATCAAGCGCAGCCACACCTGGGATGTCAAACAACAGCCAAGCACTCAA